ATATGAAATGACAAGTGCAACTAGAAGTTGTTGCTGACATCCTCCAAGGCTATTATGGTTATAGAAATTATGACATATGGCTTACTATTATCAATATATTTATACAGCAATCAGATAAAGCACCATGTCCATATTCAAAAAGAAAATACTGCTTTCTTAAAAGTATCCTAATAGAATTCTCTACTTTCCTTAATCTTTTCAATGAAAAAATTCAAACACACACACACACACAAAGATTTATAATAATCTATAAATCATTTATAGCAAAAGCAATTATAAACTCTGAATCTACCAGCTTGATATTTAAGCACAATATATTTAATTATGGCTACAGCGCCATAAGGACACGCATACATTTGAGCCAGTCGAGCCAACAATTCAGGAATTTATCAAGATATCTATACTATAATTAGCAATTTAAAAGTTTAGTAAAAGTAGTTCTGCTAAACCAAAACAATAGACCCATTTCTCTTTGCCTTGATGAAACTTGTTATCCCTTTTTATTTTACATATTTGTGAAAATGTGTGAAAATATTCACAGTAGGATTCACTGTAAGAGAAGGAATGTCTTCCCATTTGTTGAAGCTACCAGACCATTTGGATTCCTTACTTTGATCCAATTAAATATGTTGACCAGTGAGTTGAATGTGGTGATGTGTATTCAATTACCCCTGTACTGAAGTTAATGTAGCGTGGATGATCCACATCCATATTCAGATATATAACTCACATTTAATGGCATTGAAGTTACTTTAATGCGAAGGGATTAGTGTACCCAGGGTTTTTCAGATACAATGCCAGGGTTATTGGGAAAAAAAGAATTTGGTTAGAGGTGTTATCTTGAGTAATTACTTACATTAATAGGGACTGTGATTTTCACTGAAAAATATTTGAAAATTATACTGGAAGGAAGAAAACAAAGGTGGTAAAATTTCCAGACTATGCATCATAAGTCATTGCCACATGCTCTGGTTTCTCTTTATGTATAGATGTATTGGACTTATACTTGTTTCAGTCAAGAGTATCTTGATAATTTATAGCATCCATCAATAAATAATAATAATAAGAATTAAAAGAATTGTAAAATCATCAGATGATTCAAAATGCAGAATGTGCAAAGAAGCAGAAGAAACTGTAGATCATATACTCAGCTTGTGCAAGAAGATTGCACAAACTGATTATAAACAATGACATAAGACAGTCACCAAAATGATTCACTGGAACATCTGTAAAAATTACCATGTGCCAGTAATGAAAAATTGGTGGGAACATAGAGTTGAAAAAGTAGTCGAAAATGAGCAGGTTAAAATAGTAGGGGATTTCCAGATACAAACTGATAAAATCTTGGCACATAATGCACCAGATGTAACTGTGGTTGAAAAGAAGAAAGTGTGGATAACTGATGTGGCAATGCCAGGGAATAGTAGAACAGAAGACAAAGATCACAAAGTATCAAGATCTGAAAATTGAAGTTGAAAGATTACGGCATAAACCTGCAGTGGTGGTCCCAGTGGTTATTGGCACACTGGGTACCATGCCAAAACATCTTGGACAGCACTTAGAAAATCTGGCATTGACAAAATTTCCATCTGTCAATT